CCTATCTTGAAAAAAAAAAAAAAACCACAACAAACAGACAAACAAAAATATGTGCCAACATGCCCGGCATGGCCTTTGCCTTGGTTACTTGCCTGATAGGTAACCAAGAATGACCCTCCTTTTCTTTGGCCTCTACCTCCCCAGTGCTGGGATTACAGGCCTGTGTCCCTTGATTCCAGAAGTGTCAATAGAGTGGGTAGAAAACGTGTAGGGTCAGATGAGCAGATATTTTAAAGAAACCTTGGGAAATGCCAAGCGTCTGGGCCTCTCACACACCGGGGCAATGGGGCCTCTGTTGGGGCTTCTGCCACCTTCAGGTCGGGGTGGAACTGCCTCGACTGTCCAGCTGCTTTCCCTTCAGAAGCCTTCCAGATGGTGGCAGCCACACCCTGGTAGAGAGGAATGGAGAAAGAGAGGCTGCAGGAACTGGAGCAGGGGAAGGAAGGTTTTTTTTCGGCGTGTTTTTCAGTGCTGGGGATAAAACAGAGCCTCACACAAGCACTCCACTGACCCTTGCCCACAGCCGTCCAGCGGGGACTTCATTGCTGAGCTACACCCCAAAAGTGTTAATTGTAGGGTTTGTTTGGTTTAGGTGTTTTTTGTTTTTTTTTTTTGTTTGTTTGTTTGTTTTTTTTTTAATGGGGCTTCTCTATGTAACCCTGACTTACCTAGACCAGCCTGTATAGTAATTTTCTTATTTTATGTGTGCCCAGAGGAGGGCATGGGATCCCCTTGGAGCTGGAATTATAAGCAGCTGTGAGCCACCTTCCATGGATGCTTGAGAACTAAACTCCCATCTTCTGCAACAAGGGCACTTAGCTACTGAGCTATCTCTGTGCTGGGAAAGAATATTAAGATTGATTCATTCATTCATCATGTACACAATATTCTGCCTGCATGTACATAAGCAGGCCAGAAGAGGGCACCAGCTCTCACTATAGATGATTGTGATCCACCATGTGGGTGCTGGGAATTGAACTCAGGACCTCTGGAAGAGCAGCCAGTGCTCTTAACCTCAGAGCTATCTCTCCAGCCCCATCAGAATATTTTTGATATGCCATAAGGAAACACAAAGGAAGATGAAACAATCCAGTAAAGCAATTTCTTTTATTTTTAATGCATATGAGTGTTTTGCCAGAGTACATCAGGTACATGCCTGGTGTCCTCAGAACTCAGAGGAAGGCAAACACCAAAAACACCTTCCCTTCTCATTAAAGGCATGAGATGTTGGGAATGAGCAAAAGAAATTTATTCTAAGTACTACCATTTTGTTTTCAGATTCCATTTAGCCTTAGGGAAAAACTAATTTAAGGCCCCAGGCCCTAGGGGAACTGGGGACTTCCCAATATCCGAACTGCTACTTTTGTTAAAAAACAACAAAAACAAACAAAAAAACAGTTGTCTGAGCCTAGCCAACTCAGGGACTTCTCCATCTTGCTGGCAAGGTCAAAGAAGTTCACGTTTCCCGGCCGAGGAATCTAACCCTACCCTGACTGATGGAGACTCCCATGCTCAATCCCTTAGGTTGAAATACGATTATACAATGCTACAGGCCACCCTGCTCCGCCTTGCTCTACAGTGTCACCCTTCAAATACACAACACAGCCTCCCTGAGGACGCAGGTTAGATCTCCAAACTGACCACCTTGAGCTCAGAAAATAAAGATTTCGTTCTAAGTGTCTGTATCTGAAGTGAGTTTTCTTGGCTTCCACCCTGAACCTAACAGAACCATCAAGCCTGACACAAAAGAAATGTAAAAGCCCTGCCTCAAAAACAGGAAGGCGAGGTAGTGCATGCCTTTAATACTAGCACTTGGGAGTCAGAGGCAGGCAGATATATCTGAGTTTGAGGACAGCCAGGGCTGCACATCAAAAATACAAAATTAAAAAAATAAAATCAGGCAGAGTCTGGAGAGATGATTCAGTGATTAAGGCTGGCTGTTGTTCTCATATGGCATCCATATTGTTCTGCCCAGTTCACGAACCCCAAAAGACCAGGAATAACTAGACTCCGCTGTAAATACATGAGGTTATTTTTATTGTAAATTATAAGCTGCAGCTTGGGCCCACACACCCCCACTGCCGAAGCGGTGGGAGCAGAGAGGCCGGTGCCCAGGTTAATTAGGTGATATAGATTCTGGTCCCTCCCAGCATGGCCGAGGTAGGGGCAAGTCCTGCCTGGCAAGCATCTATTGGTCAAAATGCTACATTTTGAATTGATTGGCTAGAGGAAGGTTCTCAGACCATAATGACCTGGTGTCCCTCCCTAGGGTGATGGGCCAGTTTCCTAGCAACTGTTATCTCTAGTAGGTGGGGAAAGAATGCAGTAAGGTGGTCCTTCCCCTCAGGGCATTACTAGACTTCTCCACCCACCTAGTTCAGGCCTTAATAATAGCTGCTAATTTTTAATCTTTTTGGTCTCTCAATATCAGCCACTCAAAACCAGGTCCAGGAACCTACCCCTTACTTCTGGCCTCCGGGAGGGTCTGCACTGTACGAGTGTGTATCCCCACACAGACACACAACTAAAACTAGAATAAAAATCTAAAAATAAAGCCAACGAACAAAAATTGACCTGGGCTTGGTAGCTTACACCTTTAATCCCAGAAACCTGAGGCACGTGGATCTCTGTGAGTTCAAGGTCAGCCTGGTCTATAAACAGAGATGAGAGGTGTCCAGTCACATGGAAAGATTAGGACATTCTAAGGAACTGATCAAATAATGAGCTATTGACGACAAAGAGAGCTAGGTTTCTCTTTTTTTTGTAACTTCTAACTTTATTATTGCTGTGTGTAGTCACGCAGGAGCCACAGTGTGTGTGTGTGTGTGTGTAGACATTAAAGGACAGTGCTGTTCCATTTTCTTGGCTTGTGAAAGGTTATTCATACCCTTCATTTGCATTTCAGCTTTGCATAGTTACTGTCATAACCATGTGTCTTCCCTGACACCTGCAGACCCCAGGGCCTTTTTTGTTTACTTGGTTTGGTTTGGTGTCTCTCTATAGCCTTGATTGTCCTGTAGACTAGCTGGTCTCAAACTCAGAAATCCACCTGCTTCTGCATTGAACTCACAGGCAGATCTCTGTAAGTTTCAAGGCAGCATGGTCTACAGAGTGAGTTCCAGGACAGCCAAGACAACACAGAGAGGCCATGTCTCAAACCCCGCCTCCAAAGTAAAAAACAAAACAAAAACCAACCAACCAAACCAAACCAAAAAACAAAAGAACCCTCTACCACCACCCAATCCAAGGATGCTAACATATTAAAAATGTTATTCTAGCCAGGTGGTGGTAGTGGCGGTGGCAGTTCGTGCCTTTAATCTCAGCACTCCAGAGGCAGTGGCAGGTAGACTTGAGTTCCAAACCAGACTTGTCTATAGGGTAAGTTCCAGGATAGCCAGGGCAACAAAGAGAAGCCCTGTCTCCAAAAACAAAACAAAACAAAACCAGTTATTTTATGGGCTGGGGGTAAGGTTGAGTAGTAGAGCCCCTGCCTAGAATTCCCCAATGAGGGGCTGGGGGTGTGGCTCAGTGGTAGAGTACCTGCCTAGAATCCCCCAGTGAGGGGCTGAGGACGTGGCTCAGTGGTAGAGCTCCTGCCTAGACTCCCCCAGTGAGGGGCTGGGGTGTGGCTCAGTGGTAGAGCACCTGTTTAGAATCTCCCTGTTTATGGAAGATAGCTATGCAGCAGAACACTTGCCTAGCATGTGCTATAGTGTCTATGTTCATTCCTAAGGTAGCACTCCAGAAAGAAATAAAATAAAGATTCTCAAAGTCTCAAAAGTATCTTCTTTCCCTTAATATGGATTAAATATCTTAGTCATAGCAAGGTGGTGTGGTTCATGTCTTTAATCCCAGCTCTGGGAGGCAGAGGCAGGCGGGTGGATCTCTAACTGTCAGGCCACCAGGGCTACAAAGAGAAAGACTGTCTTGTAAAAAACCAAACCAAACCAAACCAAAAACCTAAAGTGACTGGCATTAACGTCATGTTTGAATTCACATTGAACAGCACCAGAAAACAGCCTCATTTCTGGGATATTTTTGTTGGAAGTGCAAAAGGATGGTCCCATCAAGAGGAAAAACTGGACTGGCCCAAATGAAAGAGTAGTTTACATGTCAAGGTCACAAAACCTCACAGGTTACAAATTATTCTGGGTTGACACTAGAGACTTGACAAATAGGTGTGATGCTAGATTGTTAAATATTAACTTTTAATTTTATGTGCAGGGTGTTTTGCCTGCATGCATGTCTGTATGAGGGTGTCGGATTCCCTGGAACTGTACAGACAGTTGTGAACTGCCATGTGGCTGCTGGGAATTGAACCTGGGTCCTCTGGAAGAGCAGCCAGTGCTCTTACCCTCCGCAACATCACCCGATGATAGATTTCTATTCTAAAAGGATGTTTCTTATTTTTGTTTTTTTTTTTTAGACTTGCCTGGCAGTATGAAACTGGCCTACTGTGGTGGCACACACCTTTAATCCCAGCACTCAGGAGGCAGAGGATTCTAAGTTAGGGGCCAGCCTGATCTACAGAGCAAGTTCCAAGACAGCCAGGGCTACACAGAGAAACCCTGTCTCAAAACAACAAACAAACAAATGTCCCTCAGCTTGGAAATGTAGTTCGGCTAGAAAGCTTGCCTGGCACTGCATGTTTGGGGTATACTAGCAATAGCAGTGGGAAGGTGGGTATTCAAGATATTGGTAAGGAGCTGGTGATGCTTGCTTTTAACCCAGCACTCAGAAGGCAGAGGAAGTGCATCTACGGGAAAGGCCAGCCAAGAGTCCAGCCCTCCTCATGCCTCATGCTTAGTCTTGCAGAGTCCTGGACTAAGCCTAGGTTTTCCCCACGTTGGCTATTTCAAGACATGGGTGGAGGGCCCCCTGGGGGTGGAAGAAGGCAAGACTTGGGGGAAAGGCCCTGGGCCCTTCCAAGTTATAAGAGGAGGGAGGTGTGTTTGCTCCTTGCCCCTGGCTGTCCTTCCGTAGGCGGAGTTTGCTAGGGAGTGTCTTGCCTGGAAGGGCAAAGGGCTGGGTCCTCTGCTAGCCTCCAACAACTGACAGGAGTCTCAGTCACTAGACTGGCAGTCTCTAGGACTATTGAAAGGTAAGCATCCAGCCCATTCACTATTATTTCCTGAGGACTGTGTGGGAACCTCTTTCTCCTTGAGAGTTCGAAACACTGTCCATTCTGCTGAACCAGGCCACTCCTGAATAAGACGGAAAGTACCCTGGTCGACTCAGCTCGCCCGGCTGTGGTGCTCCTGGGGCTTTACAAGATGAGGGTGGAGCGCCCCCTGGAGGCAAAGGGTGGTAAGAGTGGATGGAAATAGCAGAAGGCAGGTCAGGGCCAGCCAGGGTCAAGGCCAGGGCAGAAGGACCCAGGGTTGGGCTTCTCATTCATACAAAGCCCAGACCACTGCCTTTTCACCCATCACCCTCCAACAGAACCCAGAATCCCAAGCGGCTGGAGCCCTGGGGGCCAACCGGCCAGAGCCTTCCCTGGAGCAAATCCTGAAGGAGAGGGATGAAGCCATTGCAAAGTAAGAGAAACTGCAAGTGGGGTTGGAGGAGGAGGGGGGAGACTCCTGCTAGAGGAGAGGAAGGGGACTTCAGACATCCCCAGAAGAAAGCCACCAGAACCCCACCCCCACCCCGCTGTCCCTGTCGCCCACAGGAAGCAAGCGGTGGAAGCTGAGCTGGACACCTGCAGAGCCAGGTTGCGCACAGTGGAGGCTCAGCTGCTGGAGGTCCTGCAGGAGAAACTGAGGCTGAAGCAGGAGGTGGAGGCCTGGGAGGTAGGGTGGGGCCTGACCTGGGAGCTTGGAAGACATTTCTGAGTCCTCAGGGATCCCCTTGAACCAGTTCTCTCTCCTCTACCCAGGAAGACATGCAACGGATGGTTCAGGAGCGGGTGCAGAGTCAAATGCAGGGAGACTCCAGGGGTGCTCTGGGCACGCAAAAGAACACAAGTGCTGGCAGGGGCTCCTGGGCCCAACTCTCCCGGAGCCAGAGGGGACAATGGTGGTGAAAACAGATCCCAGAACTTTAAGGGAACTGTCTTTATTCATTAAAGTATTGGAGCCCCTCTGTACCCTGGGACCTCTCAGTTCCCACCTTAGTTTTTCTGTGCAGAAGCAAGGGACAGGTGGCATGGACACCAAGCCTAGAATCCCCCGCCTGTTCTTTCAAGGAGCCACTTCTTAGGCCAAGAAACTGCAGACAGCATCCATGAAGTCTTGAGGTTTGTCACTGTGGACCCAGTGCCCAGCATTAGGCACAGTCTGGATCTGGGCTTGAGGAAAGAGCCGCCTAATCTCCGGGTGGTGGCTGGGTCTGGCCACCATAGTGAAGCCAATTGAGATGGGGTTAGGGACACAATAAAGAGAGAGAGATGGAGAGAGACAAAGATGGGGAGTAGGGCGGAGAAAGAACAAGAGAATGAGAATTAGTTACATGAACCTACAAACCCAGTGGCATTTCCAGACTCCCAGATACCCACGTCCACACCCGAGCAGGCTCCCACAGCTGGGGGGGGAGGGGTCAAGCATGCCTTTCCTGTGCTCCCACATTGGCTTACTGAACATATCTAGAATTTCCACCAAGCAGAAAGAGAGTTGGCCCTCGGTAGGATTCACGTAGCTCTGGGAAGGTCAAAATCTTGTCCAAGTGCTGAGCTAAAGTATCCAAGTTCAGCCTCCAGGAGAAGTGCCCGTTTACCTCCACCAGGTTTGTGAGTAGGAACTGGCGAATACCTGGGTCCTGGGGGTGTGGGGAGGGGCAGTTGTGAGGGGCCCTCTCTGTGAGGAGGCCCACCCACCACTTTTCCTCCTCCGCCATGTCTTAAGTCTCCAACACCATGGGGGAAAGGGGAAGTGTATATCACCTTGACAAGGGAGGTTAGCTGTTCGTCGGCCAGCTTCCGAGCCTGGGAGTGTGGCACCTTCTCTGGGACATGGACGGCCTTCATAGCTGCTATAAAGTTCCCAAGGTATGATCCTGGTGTGGTTCCTACTGGGCTTATGTCTATGGCCACCAATCGGTCCACAATGTCTGGCTATGAGACAGAATCAGACCAGAACACTGGGCCTCCAGCACAGCTTTTGAAGCCTGGCCAGACAAGGCACAGACGATTCTCACCCTATCAGCTGGGCACTTAAGCTGCATAGCTCATTAGGAGGAGGACCCTATCCGGGTGTGTTAGCACATGCCTGTAATCCTGGCACTCTGGGAGGCAAAGGCAGGTGGATCTCTGTCAGCTCAAGGCCAGCCTGGACAGCCATGAGTCCTGTGAGTCCAGGCAGCCATGACTACACAGAGAAACCCTGTCTCAACCCCCCCCCCCAAAAAAAGAGGAGGAGACCAACAGAGCTCACCCTCTGTAGTGCCAGCAGCATGGCTGTCTTTCCTCCCATGCTGTGACCAACGAGGACACAGGGCACCAGGCCCAGCTGTGACAGGAGTCCCTGAAGGTCCTGACTCATGGCCTCATAGCTTGCATCTGGACTGTGGGGACTGGTACCATGGTTCCGGGCATCCACCATCAGCACCTGAGGAGTGAGGTAAAACAGGAGGAATGCTGGTACCCTGATTACAGACAATGAAAAGCCTGGAAGGGACTACAGAGCAGCCAGGGAGGGAAGTCTGGAGCCATAATTGTGTGTGTGTGTGTGTGTGTGTGTGTGTGTATTTTCATGTGCAGGCCAGAGGTCAGTCTTGAGCATCTTCCTTAGTCACTACACAACTTACTCCTTGATTTTATTATATACACATATAAGCATGCATGTGTGCAAGTCTGTGTGTGGGCATACGTGCCATGGTGAACTGTGGAGAGACAACCATGGCAAATGACAACTTGAGGTGCCAAGGAGTGAGGGAATGCGGGCCAAAAGGGGAGCCGAGGACCAAGAGAGCGCGCATGGCCGAAAGGGCTGGCTTATATAGCAAAGAGAAGCTGGGGGAAGGGACGCGAAGCCTCTGGACTAGAAAGGTTACCGTAAGTGGTGGGGTGAGGAGAGCACAGAGGAGCCACTGGCGCTGAATAAGCCAGGAGGCCAGTGTGTATTTTGCTAGTCTAACAGACATTATTTTGTCCGATTCGTGGAGACCGTTAACATAAATGAACTGGAAGGCACCTTTCAGGATAAGGTCTCTTCGTAGATGTTTTCCGGGTTACCGTGCAATGAAACTTTCCATTTATCAAGAGCCCAGACCTGAGGGAGGTCCACTTCCCCGTTAGCCACCGCCCACCCGGAAGCTCACCCTCCTGCCGGTCCTCTTAACCATCGCCTTGGCGATAGAATTGAAGTTGGTTTTGCTGCCAAAGAGTCCGTGCAAAAAGACGACGGCTGGGAGTGTTGCCTCTCCATCTAGAAGCGTATAGGACAGCGGCAACGGCCTGGAAAGTGGGGGCCACCAGGGAGGAAGGGGAGCGTGAAGGGGAGAAGAGGCGAGGCCAAAGGAGGGGAGGGGCGAGCCAGGCCAGGTTTGCACGCCTGCAAACCTCCGGGTGTCCTTAACTGACCTGGGATCGGCGATTCCTTGGCCACTTCGGCTATTGAACGCTATAGGCACCACCGAGCACCTGGGAGAGGAGGCACCAAGTGTCCCACGGGGGACCCTCCACGCTCGCGCCCAGCGGAGCATTGCCCACACACCCGCAAAGCGTGCTTCCTAGAGCTGTCCTGCGCATGCTCCGCCTCCCAAGCCCTGCCCCTTTCCAATTAGGCTCCGCCTATCTCCCTGCCCGCAACCCGGTCGGAGGGCCCCGCTAGGTCACATGGCCAAACGGAATCCCGGAGCTCAGTTCAGCCCCGTCTTTGCACCATTATCCAAAGCAGAAGCTTTTTGGGCGGAACCATCAGTGCTGGCTCCAAACCTTGCACATTAGAGGTGTTTCCTGCAGCCACTTTAAGACTGGTCTGTAGGACTAGCTGTCTTGGTTACGCGCTGGCCTTGCCCCTTGCACCAATACGCAATTCCTGCAGACACTAGAACCGTTTAGAGATGAGGTCCTGACCATGATGAGGGCGGTGCTACATAGACTGGCCCCGCCTCTTGAGCCTCTTCAGACCTGTAAACCCCTGCCACACCCTGGGTGTGCCACGTCCCCTCCCCACTAGCATGTTCTTTGCCCCATCACTCAATGGACATAGCCACTGGCCAACACTTCGAGTTGGGCTCCTTGGCTACACTCTAGGCGGAGCCACCGGAGACTTTGGGACCGCCTCTTGTGTTACTACGTAATTTCCACCTTTCAAGTCTGCTCCTTGGCCACGCCCTACCATGGGCGGAGACACAAGGGAACCTGGGTGGTCCCTTGCATGATTTAGCAGTTCCTTAAGATGCTGCAGCTCCCGGAACTTCGTCCCTTGGCCACGCCCTGGGCGGAGCCACCCAAGATTCTGACCACACCTCTTGTATCATTACTTAATCCTTTCTAGTTCTTTGCACACCTCCCGAAGGGCCTTGGCAAAGTTGTAGGCCAAGTCCCAGCCTTTAAAGGACCTCACTTTGACCAGAGGTCCTCAGCTCAAGGAGTAAGCATGGGGCGCGTCCCTGGCAAACTGGAGACATCCCTTTTCGGCTGGCGAGCCTACCCCACACCTGGCTGGCTCGTCGGTCCTCAGGCACCACCCTGGGTGGATGCCATGTCCTCTGTGCCTCCAGCGAGGGCAAGAGGCGCCAGGAATAGCTCTTATTCCAGCTCCCGCCAGCTCGGTGGCGCCGTGCTCCGCAGCCGGGAGCCCTGTCAGGCTCCCCAGAGCATGAGTGCTTTGTTTCTCAAAGTCCCCTCAAGAAACAACTAGGGGCACGCTGGAGAGATGGCTCAGCGGTTAAGAGCCCTGAATGGTCTTCTAGAGGACCAGGATTCAATTCCCAGCACTCACATGGCAGCTCACAACTGGCTGTAACTCCAGGATCTGACACCCTAATACAGACATACAGGCGGGCAAAAAACAAAAAAACAAAACAAAACAAAACAAAAAAACAACAATGCACATAAAAGAAAAAAGAAGCAGCTAAGAGGAAGGAGCTTTCGAGGTCATCTTCACCTTTACTTGAGGTGCAGGAAGGGCAAAAGATTGGTCCAATAGGCAGAACCAGAGTCTTGGTCAGGTCTTCTGTTCCTGATGCAGGTCAATTGGAATAACCAGGATCAACCCCTGGCCGGTGATTTGTGCCATAGTTTCAAAAGCCCTGAATAGAAACGGCACCGGGAATATGCCTTCAAACCCAATATATGGGAGGCAGAGGCAAGTTGTTTTCTGTAAGTTCAAAGCAGGACTAGTGTATATTGAGTGCCATGCTATGTGGAGAAACTCTGGCTCAGAAAAACAAAGCTAAACCAAACCCTGGAAAATAGTGGTGCACGAATTTAACCCCAGCACTCAGGAAACAGAGGCAGGCAGATCTCTGAGTTTGAGATCAGCCTGGTGTACAGAGTTCCAGGACAGACAGAGAAACCCTGTCTTAGCAAAACAAACAAAAAGAAAACAAGAAAGAAAGAAAAAGAAAGAAAGAAAGAAAGAAAGAAAGAAAGAAAGAAAGAAAGAAAGAAAACAAAAGGACCCAGACTAGCAACATGCCATTTACCAGCAGAGAATGGCAATCCTCTCAGTCCCTCTGTTCTGAAATCACTTCCCACAGGTACCCTGACCTTTGTGCACTCAGAATAGAACAAAACAGTCCCCTTCTGCAGAAGGATGAAGTCTGGGAGTTGGTACAAAGCCTGTTTCAGCCTTGCTTTGAGGGATAGGGGAGCGGCCATTGTGTCTCTGGGTAGTCTCTAGTGTATCAGTGGTTAGTCTCCTGTTAGTGGGCACTTGACCAGACTCCTGAGGAAGATTTGCCTAAGCATTTCTCCAGTGTTTTAAGTACTCCATTTTGTGGGTGTTTGGGAAGGAGGGGAGATAGAGTTTGAACCCAAGGAGTTGTGAATTAATCTCACGAGCACTCCACCACTGAACTATATTCTTTTTGTTTTGTTGGAGACAGGGCCTCTCTCTGCAGCCCTGGATATTATGGAGCTCATGGTGTAGACCGAGCCATACATCACATGCATGTAGTGTCCATGCAGGCCAGGAGAGGGCATTGGACCCTCTGAGAATGGAGTTACACAGTTGTGAACTGCTATATGGGTGCTGAGAACTGAAGCCAGTTCTTTTGGAAGACCAACCCACTCCTGGGCCATCTCTCTAGTCCCTTGGTGGTCCTTTAATGCTGGAGCCTGCTGGCAGAGTCAAACAGTTTCTGAGTGGAGAATGAGGATTGAAATAATTAAAGCAAAGTCACACTATACACAGGACCATCTGGAGAAGGCTGTCAGTAAGACTGCAGCGTGAGTTTATTCCACAATTCCTTTTTATAGGCGAAGCAAAAACAAGTCACATCAATACAAAAAATAAGTTTGTGAAACTGCCAAACTTGTTTTCTAAAACTACTTTTCTGTAGCAGATATGGTCCAAGGTCACACAAACAAGTTTTAAGGAACTTGTGGAAACATCCTCTTATCTCTGTCTCAAGGTGAAGGCCAGGATGAAAACACTGAATACTCAATAACAAAGCAGCTTGACAAACAAGCAGCTCTCCACACTTTAGTGAAATTATATTTTTGTAGCAGATGAACAAAAGACAGTTGGGTCCTCAGGGAACCCGTGGGCCAGGATGGATACAGGGGTGATATTGCCATAGAATTGCATATAGACAAATACATTGTGAATTTGGGCTAGAAATGAGTAGTGTCAGGCTGAGTGTGGTGGTACACATACATAAATGCAAGCAAAACATTCATACACAGTAAATGTGTGTGTGTGTGTGTGAGAGAGAGAGAGAGAGAGAGAGAGAGAAAGAGAGAGGAGACTGGGCAACAGCAGGGCAGAAGGCAGCAGCACTGACTAGGACAAAAGAGGACTAAGATCCAAAGGCTTGACCCTGGGAAGGATTCATTGGAGGACTTGAAGTACTGCTGGTTTGTTTGTTGTTTTTTGAGACAGGGTTTCTCTGTGTAGTCCTGGCTGTCCTGGACTTACTTTGTAGACCAGGCTGGTCTCAAAGTCACAGAGGTCTGACTGCCTCTGCCTCCCACAGTGCTGGGATTACACCTCACCACCACACCCAGGCCTTCCTCTTTTCCTTCTTTCCTTCCTTCCTTCCTTCCTTCCTTCTTTTCTTTCTTTCCTATGGGGTGGGTGAGCTTGAACTCTTGATCCTTATCCTTCCCCTCTTGAGTGCTGAGATTACACCTGATTTCTGCAGAGCTGGGGAGGGAACCTGGGCTTGCTTCATGCTTAGCAAGAATTTACCAGCTGGGCTGCATTCCCAGCTCCCCTCCTCTACCCAGACTTTTGTTTGGTTTGGTTTGGTTTTGATTTGGGGGTTTTTGAGACAGGGTTTCTGTGTATAACAGACCTGGCTGTCCTGAAACTCTCTCTCTCTCTCTGTAGAACAGACCGGCCTCAGACTCAGAGATCGACCTGCCTCTTTAGTGCTGGGATTTAAAAAGTGTGTGCTGCCACCAGCTGCTGCTGCTTCAAGAACAACTTCTCCTTCTTCTTCGATAGTCTCAGCCGAGTGTAGCGGGAGGCAGGGGCAGGCAGACCTGTGAGTTTGAGGCCAGTCCAGGACAGCCAGGGCTACACAGAGAAACCCTGTCTCAAAACAAACAAACAAAGAAAAGAAAAGATAAAAGTCTCCTTCTATAGCTCAGGTTACCCTGGAGGTCACTGTGTAACCCATGCTGGCCTAGAATTCATAGCAATTCTACCTCTGCCTCCTGAAAAGCTGGGATTTCTGGCCAAGCTCAGGAAGGATTCTTAAAGATACTTTTTAAACTTTGGTTTAGTTTGGTTTTTTTGATACAGGGTTTCTTTGCATAGCCTTGCCTGTCCTGGAACTAGCTCTGTAGACCAGGCTGGCCTCAAACTCACAGACCTGCTCTGCTTCTGCCTCTGAGATTAAAGGTGTGGGCTACCACTGCCTGGTTAAACATTTTTTTACTTGTATTTATGTATTTTTATTTAGTGTACATCTCTGTGTGTGTGTCTGTCTGTGTGGATGCACAGGTTTCACAGCATGCATGTGGAGGTCAGAAGACAATCTGAGGAAGTCTCTTCTTTCTCCGTGTGGACTCCAGGGATTGAACTCATGTCTTTAGACTTGGCTGGCAGCAAGTGCCTTTATCCACTGAGCTGTCTCACCAGTCCCCGACGTCAAAGAGTTTACAGTTCTGATGGGAATGGATAGTGTTGTTAAACAGTTTCTGATCAGTCAACTTTCTGTCTCCACAGCTCACCCCAACCTGGCACACAACCTTTGACCACATGCCCAAGAGCCAAATAGCCCAGGTCTGGTGTCAGGAGCGGCCTTGAGGACCTTCCTAGCTGGTCCTGGGCCCCAAGCCTTGTGGTCACATGGCTTGCTCAAGGCCAGAGGCTGGCAAGCAGAAAAACCAGTTGTTTTGAAGTTCCCAGGTGAGCATTCCAGAGGACATAGTGGGCAGGGACAGAGGAGCCGGTAAGGCTCCCTGGGCAGGACTCTGAGGGCGGCCTGTTGGGGAAGGGTCATTCCAGAGCTGCCCACCCTTTCTTTCCCGGCTTGTGGGCCCGGCCAGGGAATTTATGTTGGCTGACTTCCAGGTTGTGCACCGGACGTCGAAACTGTTGGGCAAGGGCAGTGTGTTAC